GCAGAATTTGTTTGAAGTTGTGGTACGTTTGGAAAAGCGTATACTCATTTCTTAGAGTGCTGTAAGTACTGCAGTCGAATATAAGGTGTTCCGCCGTTTCCTTAGTGTTGCACGTATTACAGGTATCTGACCTGTAATGCTGAAATTTGTTTAAGTACGTATTACCGTATGTATGTCCTGTTGCAATTCTGTTAAATAGTTTTATGTCGTATGCTTCTAAGTTCAGTTTTTTGTTTTTAAACCACGGATTGTTTATTTTCAATGTACAAAATTCCGCAATGTCAGGGTCCCAGTTTGGTAGTTTGTTGTTAAATTCGTCTTTGGTTTCAGTCCACAGTCTGGTGCTTATTTTTAGGAGTGCTTCATTTAGGCTTAATTTAGGAGAGAGAGATTTACCGAAATCAATTGCAGTTTTTGCAGCAATGTCGGCTTTTTCGTTTATTGTTATCCCAACATGACTGGGTGTCCGTACTATCATTATGTTTTCAATGTTGGATCTGTGTAGTTTGTTGTGAATTTCTGCCACAAGGAAGTTCTGTGTGGTGTGATTGTCGAGGGCTTTGATTGCTGCCTGGCTGTCTGTGAAAATTGCTATCTTTTTGTTCCCGCTGTTGCTTGCTATTGTAGCTGCCTGAGATAGTGCAACTAGCTCACCGTAGGTTGAGGTAAAATTTCCGTCTATGTTAAAAAGGTATGAGACATTGGTTGTTTCCACGTACACTGCACATCCAACTTTATTTGCCATCACCGATGCATCAGTCGCATATATGTTGTAGCCATCATCCTTCAAAGTGTTGATTTTTTGGTTATAAATTGCTCTAAGTTGTGTGGAGGAGAAATTTTTTTTTGAGTTCGATAATTCAGATTGAAAAAGGGTAATATTGTTATGTCTGTTAAAGGCAACATTTGTGTCTATGTTGTTTATGGTTACTTTGAATTTTTCATATGTTCTACTATAGCTTGAATTTATGGCCGGTTTGTCTTGTAATTGTGTTCTTAGTGCCGGGTTGAGGAACCATTGTTTGACCAGTTCTTTAGCTGTCAGCCACACTGCTCTAGATAGAGGTGGGAGTTCGCAGGCTAGCGCGTATCGCATAAGTGTTGGGGTGTTAGGTGGTACTCCTAGACATCTCCGTAGAGTTTCATTAACGCTCGTTTGAAGTTGCTTGTTGTAACCTTTTGGTGCATTGGCGTAACTGGTGCTGGCATATTCCGCTTTGGACCGGACGAATGCTTTAAACAGATTTATTGAGGTTTTAGGGGAGATTCCTGCTTTAATTGATGTTAATTTCGAAATGAGGTTTTTACCTGGAGTTACAGCTTTTTTATTGCTAATATGTACCTTGACAGTTGAGTTTGCGCTGATGGTTCTTCCTAACCACTTAAAACATTGGACTTGTTCCAAGTTTGTGCTGTTGATTGATATGTTGAACTGTTGTCGGTTATTTGCGGACATATACATGAATTTTGTCTTATCTAAGTTGAACTTTAGATTTAAGTTATGACACTTTACCTGTAATTCTGCTATTTTATCTTGTAAATTTTGAACTGCTGCTGTTTTGTTTGAGTTTGTGGATACTATGGCTAGGTCGTCAGCGAATTGAAATAGGTGCGTGTGAGGATTGTTGATTTCGTGTAGTTGGGCTGTATATATATTAAATAATGTTGGAGATAAACAGCTACCTTGAGGCAAGCCTGAGTTTATTTCTACGGAAAATTCTACTTAGTGAGGGTTATAATCCCTAAGCGCGGCCGAAGGCCGCCTACGCACAAGGTTCCCTGCAAAAGGTGTTCAGCCCCTTTTCTTCGGCAACAAAGAAAGGAGGATTCTACTTAGTGAGGGTTATAATCCCGGGTTGACTTTAGTGTACATCGACATGTGTGTGTTTTAGCAAAACTATAACGAATTTTCTAATGAAACTTTACGAAGATGCTAAAGCTGAATTAAGTCAAGAACGCAGAACTTATACTTAAACGCAGTCTGTATACGCAGAATTTTGTCGATTGCTGGGGCCCTCAGTGTTGCTTACTACAGTGTTGCCACTCAATGCCTCTTCATAAACATAAGGGGTATTCTCTGAGTCTTGCAAAGCCCTTTCACGGTGCACGGATTGCACGGTTTGCAAAGCTGTCCCATACGAAAACCGGTTTTTACCGTGCCCCCTATACCTTTTCAACTACAATTTTTCGTGCTATAATAGATTGTAGCTAAATATGAACTACCTAGTTTTCAACAAAAAACCTTAATCAATAGTAAATTTCAAATATTTTAAGCATATTTGGATAGGAACTTATAACTTTTTTACCATCTGCAAAACTGGCGAAGTGGCAACCATCTAAAAAGGAAGAAATCGGCTGACACGAAAAAATCTAAATTCCGCAGCTTTAAGCTGAAATTAGTCAAGAACGTAAACCTACCGGAACGTAAACCCGAGTCAGCTGACACGATCTGTCTTACCAAAGCGCCATGTAAATGAAAACTCAACAACGAAAATTTTTCCGTAGTTGTAGCCCGTAGCGCAGAAATCTGCGGAATTTAGATTTTTCCGTGTCAGCTGATTTCTCCTTTAGATGGTTGCCACTTCGTCAGTTTTACAGATGTTAAAAAAGATATAAGTTCCTATTCAAAATATGTTTAAAATATTTGAAATTTACTATTGAATAAGGTTTTTGTTGAAAACTAAGTTGTTTATATTTAGCTAAAATCTATTATAGCACGAAAAATTGTAGTTGAAAGGGTAAGTTTATGAAAAGGCATTGACGAGTGGCAACAGTGTAGTAAGCAACCCTCAGGGCTCCAGTAATCAGCAAAATTCTGCGTATACAGACTGCGTTTAAGTATACGTTATGCGTTCTCGACTAATTTCAGCTTAAGAAACAGATATGTTTACATAAATTCTCACTATTTTCACTTTTTTAATACTAGTATTTAAGTAAATTAAGTAATTTTTTGCACTTCCATTAGCAAATTTTCATATAAAAAGTGCAGCTATCACTTGTACTTGCATAAATGCACGATCTTTGCAATGTTCACGTGTGATTTGGGTACAATAAATGTCTTTTATTTTATTTTTTAACTTATGAATCATTTTTAACAAGCTCGAGGCCCAGCAATTAAATAAAACGCAAATTTTCGTTCTATAGTTATTTTAATTGTTGATATAGCACGATAGCATATTATTAACTTTAAATTATTACAAACATATGTTAAACACAACTGACACTCTTGATTGTGCCTGGTCGACTAACTAGGCGTACAGAAATAAAAGTT